AATGAATTCACTGTGGATAGAAAGGCATTCAGATAGTGTGAGGAGTGTTGTGGAAGGAATTAAATGTTCTCTGTTCTAAAACAATGGAATGAATGCCAAGCAGCAGCAGCATGAAATGGGTGAAATTGAGCTCTGGCCCAAACCAGGTGTTTTCCATCCCCACAGTTCATTGGCTCTGATTCTGATGTCAGATAACACATTAATTTGTTTAGCTGATCCAAATCATATCATTATTGCAAAGTGCTAAGTGATCTGCACACTGATAGCTTCTAACATTATTTGGCAGAACTAAAATAAAAATAGTAATAAAACTTTAAAAAATGGCTTGGAAATAGTATGGAATAGATGCTTTTCCATGATGGTTACCAAAAAGTAGCAGGAGCACATGGAATAACTTACAGGGCTTTCTAGATCCTACTAATCTCTCTTTCACTCCAAAGGTGTTCAGATCATGCTTAAAACTTTTGCTGAAATCTTTCATTACTTTTTAAATGGATTTTACCCTTCAAAAGTGTTGTTTTAAGTCCCCTTGGTTGGGAAAGACTTCAAATCAAGTTCTGTCTTTAATGCTGCCTTTTTGAGCAATGTCCCACTTTCTGTTCTTGAAGTGAGGAAATGCTTTTAATCTTTTGTAGGTGCGCAGTAAAAGGTTTTAACTTAGCAGTGCTTTTATACCACAGGGTTCTGTGTGTTGCCATTTAATTACTTTATTCTGCATGAGCATTCATTTATACATTGCAGGAACAAATGCATGGAAAGCAAAGGATTAATTTTTTACCAACTTCAGAGTAACAGTGAGGCTGTCAGTATCAGAATGACATTATCAACCTTTTGAAATCATGCCATTAGGACTTTTTGGACAGCAGTGCTTTTATAGGGGACAGCTATTGATTCAAACAGCCCCAGCTTGAACACCAGTGTAGAAAGTGGATGTGGAGAAAAGGAGAGTTGTTTGCAGTTTTTTGCATGTTTTAATTTAGGCCGCAATCCAAATGAAATTGAAGTCAACCTGGAAACCGCTTTGGCTCCACTTGGACTTGCTGGCCAAGTTTGAAGCCTGTAGAGAAGGAGCCATTCTTTTCAAATGGAAGCTGGAGTCCTGTAATTGTACTTGTAACTGAAATTGCAGAAGCAGCTTTGGGTGAAAAACCAAGTTTTGTCAGTGATTGTGTCCAGCCACACTTGAGGGATTTTCATCAGCTCCAAGCAGGAGAATTGGTGCCCTGCCCTTTAACTTCTAACAGTGAAACATTTTGACACTCCATCATTTTGCAAACAATGTCATTTTCTTTGCCAAAATGTAAGAGTTTCATTAGTTTGAATAATTTCTTCCAAGCTAAATACAAAATTGATGACAACTTGCAACATACCGCGGTGAAAAAAATCACAGTTCTCTTTTCCATATTTTGGTGGAAATTTGAGACCTTGCTTACTTAAATTACTTTAATTAAAGCAAAACTTCGGGATATGAAGAGTAAAATGGGTACAAATGTAGGACAGCAAGCATGAAGAAAATCTTAATAAAATTATATTTTCATTATATTAACAAAATGTGGTGGGTTTTGCCTCTACTGTAAAGTCTGTGCAGTTGGTTTTTCAAGGCAGTTGGGTTGCATCAACTGGTTATTTGTTACTAATTTGTGGGTTTCTCTTCAGGCATTTTATATCCTCTCAGCTTTTACCATCTGCCAATAATTATAACTGGAGAGGCTGGCCAGCAAACCCAAGCACAGCATCGTGTCCATAGATTGCTCTCCATCCATGGATTGTTCACAATTCCTGGGTAACATCAGTTTTCCCTGGGCTGCTTAAATATCAGTTTGGAACGGTATCAAGTTATATCTTAATCCCATGTCATTGTCAAGGAGCTCTAGGTATGACAAATACGCGTTTTCATTCCAGGCTCAACAGAATACCAGAGTCTACTATTTTATTTTATTTTATTTTATTTTATTTTATTTTATTTTATTTTATTTTATTTTATTTTATTTTATTTTATTTTTTCATTCAGGTGCCTCTGAATGCAGTGTTTGCACCTGAATTGTCACCTCCCTTAAAATTTCAGGCTTGTCTGAATGCACCATGCACTGCCCCTTCTTTCCTTCCCTCTGCACTTACTACTGAGCTGTTGGCCACTGCTCATCTGCTCTTGGTGTTAATTTTTAATTTGAGCAGCACGTGTTGAAATGCTTTCAGATGTGGCTGATTTTGATACCAGTGACATAATTACTGCCTCCTATTAGATAAGCAGTGCGTGACTTTAATAAATGTAACCATCTATGCTCATGGCAGACTTTTGTTGGGACATAAAATGCAGAGTTAATAATTTTGAATGCAAATCTCTTCTCAAGGCAAGTAAAGGAAGATGTGCCTGGCTGGAAAGGGTTAGGATGTTGAAACAAGGAAAACTAAAAATTAAGGAAAATTTTGTTGTCAGAGACAGACAATGTCTTTTAGCTTCAAACCTTTAACCTAATTTGTTTCATCAGTTACTTTTTAAACCACTTTCAGTGCAAAAGTGTCTCTCTGTGGTGTTTGTGAGGTCCCCAGGATGAGGAAAGAGATGAAAATTTGACTCCCATGTTCTCAGAAGGCTTATTTACTATTCTATTCTATTCTATTCTATTCTATTCTATTCTATTCTATTCTATTCTATTCATTATTGTCACAGACATCTTTTCATGTAAAATCCTCTCTTTAGGATTTTTCCTCCTGAGAAGCTGAGAGGCCTCAGGAACAAAATATAAACAATGATAATCTGCTGCTATGGGATGCAACAGATGCATCTGTGATTGGTTCATGTTGGTTGTTTCTAATTAATGGCCAATCACAGTCAGCTGGCTCGGACAGAGAGTCTGAGACAGAAGCTTTTGTTATCATTCTTCTTTCTTTTTCTATTCTTAACTAGCTTTTTGATGAAATCTTTTCTTCTATTCTTTTAGTATAGTTTTAATATAATATATATCACAAAATAATAAACCAATCCTTCTGAAACATGGAGTCAGATCCTCATCTCTTCCCTCATCCTAAGACCCCTGTGAACACTGTCGCATTATATATTATATTATATTATATTATATTATATTATATTATATTATATTATATTATATTATATTATATTATATTATATTATATTATATTATATTATATTATATTATATTATATTATATTTTTGATATATGATATTACATTGCATTACAATTACATTACATTATATTGCATTATACTGCATTATATTATATTGCATTATACTATACTGCAATATATATACTATACTGCAATACTATTACATTACATTACAATTACATTACATTACATTATATTATATTGCTATAATAAAGCTATACCTAAGAAGGAGAAAGGATACATCAGAAGGCTTAGCAAGAATGATAATGAAAGCTCATGACTCCTCAGAGTCTGACACAGCTGGACCATGATTGGTCATTAATAAAAAACAATTCACATGGAACCAATCAAACATTCACCTGTTGGTAAACAATGTCCAAGCCACATTCCAAAGCAGCAAACACAGGAGAAGCAATCAGATAATTACTGTTTTCATTTCTCCTTGAGGCTTCTCAGCTTCCCAGGAGAAAATCCTAGGCAAAGAGGATTTTTCAGAAAATATCACAGTGACAGTCTCTCTACTTGTGTGAGTGTGGAGGTGAGAAGAAGGCTGGCCTAGATGAACCTGGATGTGCTGAATCTCTCCTGCATGATTGGGCTGGTGCTGCTCACCCAGGGTGTGCCTGCCCCAGAGGATCTGCCTGCTGTGTGATTGCTCCCTGCCAGCACAAAATCCTCTTTTTTCTACCTCTACCAGTAGAGTGAGAGCTTGGTAGAATATCTTTATACTTACTTGCCTTTGTAGAGTTTGATTTTCAGTGTATCTTTATACTTACTTGCCTTTGTAAAGTTGGATTTTCAGCTGTCATAGCTCAGGACGCTTCGTGTAGGATTTTTCCTGGCACCTGCATTTATAAAAGTGATTTCCAAAGAAGTGGCTTTACCATGCACTCAGGCTAAGGGAGAGGTCATGTCACTTTTATGTTCCTGTGTCACAGAGAGGGCCCATCATCTCTGCAATGCCCTTGCTTTGGGGAAGGGAGGGACTCAGGGAATATTGAGACCACCAGTGGAACCTGTTTTTCTTTGAGCTGGGGTGTGGATGGACTAGGGCTGGTCTGGGGTGTCAGAGCTGTTGCTATCAAGCAAGAAATGGCTCTGTTATCACTAAACTGAAAGGTCAGCTCTGCTGGAAGTGCCAATTACTGGCAATACCTGAAGCGGGTTTCTTGGTCTAATTGGGAAATATTTTTAAAAGACAGTAGAAATCATGGGAGTGAGCTGTGAACTCTGTGTCCCTCCAGGTGAATTACTGGTGTGGATTCCTAAGGGAGAAGGGGAAAATGCTTCTGAAGAAGTGTGATAGATGTCTTTGGGGCACCTGAGCCTTGTTAATGCTCTGCTGCCTTTGTCCTGAGTTTATTGTAGCAATATGGAGTTTGAAAGTGCTGATGCAAGGATTGCAGCAGACTTTAGGAAATAATCTTTGTATTGGTGCTTTGTGGGCTTCCACAGACGGCTGCTGCATTCCACCCTGTGATTTTCACATGCATGAATGGAGAGCAAAGAAAACGTGCCACCAGTGCAGTGCATCCACCATGGAGCCCATCCATCCTTCCATCCATCCATCCTTCCACCCATCAGGATAATAAATAACACATCACACATATTCACAGGGTGCTGAGGTTGCCCAGAACAGCAGCCTCCCATTTTTATCTGTAGATCTGTCTTGTATTAAGAGCAATTTTTACATCCTTGCTGTGTATCAAGCTTAGGAATCCCTGGTGGAAGCTTTCCCTCAGCTGGTGATGCCAAACCACTGCTGCTGGTGTTTAAAGCTCATAGTCACAATTTGATCTCGTGCCCTGGACTTTTTATTGCTGCCGTAAAACACATTGCTCTCCTTTAAAAATCTCCTTTGTCTCTTTCCACAGAGTGATGAGGTTCTGACAGTCATCAAGGCCAAGGCACAGTGGCCAGCCTGGCAGCCTCTGAATGTGTAAGTAAGTAGGGAATTGTCTGTCTCAAGAGCTTTGTGTTGGCTAAAGAAATAACCTAAAATTTGTTGATAGATGAGTTTTTGATTTTTTTTTTTTTGGTGGAGTGTGTTTGATTGGTTTGTTGTTTTGTTTTGTTGGTTTTGGGGTTTTTTCCCCACATCTGCTTATCTCTTTTCTTCCTCTTTAGCATCTCTCCATTTTTTACATGCTTTGGTTGGCTAGCTGTGGCAGCAGGGCTATCCCATGGAGTTTGTGCTTTCCACACATAAACAGTGATGTTTATTCAATGTTTTCTCAAATATCTTATACTCTTCTGCATGTAGTAACAGCATTTTTGGCATCCCGTTTCACACTCTGTGCAATGCACTGTGACAGCAAACCCTGATGCACCAACAGAAAACTCTCAAAGGACTGATTCTTCAAAATGCCAATCTGAAACACTCTGTGATGGCAGTGCATCCACCATGGAGCCTTTCCATCCTTCCATACATCCTTGCATGCATAATAGGATAATAATTTACACCTCTCACATGCTCTCAGGGTGTGCTAGGTTGCCCAGAGCAGCAGCCTCCAGTTTTTATCTGTACATCTGTCATGTATTAAGAGCAATTTTTCTGTCCTTGCTTTCTATCAAGCACCAACAAAAAGAAGCTCTCAAAGGGCTAATTTTTCAAAATGCCAATCTGAAACACCCCCTGTGATGGCCTCCTGATCCTGAACCATGGCTGTTTCACCAAGTGAGGCAGGAATTTTGCTTCCCAGGGTTCTGGCTCTGGGCTCTCCAGCACTCAGCAGAAAAGAGGAGGAAACTCCTCTTTCAGGATGCTCTTGAGTTTCCTGGTGGCCCCTCAGGGGAGCTGTCAGAGCAGGGCTGGTGGTTCCTGGATCATTCATCTACACTTGGCCCAAAGTTCATGCTCATTATCCAAGCCCAAATGAGTGAGACCTACAAGAAGTGAGAAAAGATGTGGGCACAGTAAAAGGGATCTGAGCTGACAGTCAATTAAATCCTTGGAGGAGCAGGGCAATTAGTTTAATGCAAGACTGTACAGAAAAACAGTCCTGTTTTCTGTTTCCTGGGAGCAGGTAGTGAAGCACTGTGTCTGATTTTGTCACCTGTATTTCAGAAAGCATGTGGAAACTTGAAGGTTAGTTAAAAAAAAAAAAAAAACACAAAAACAAACCTGCAAAAGAGTTCAGTTTTCAGAAAACATCCCCTTCCCTAAAGGGGCTTAGAAACTCTTAAGCAGCTTAGGACTTAAGCCATTCACTTTATCCTTTTCCCCTGTGCAAAAAAAGAAAAAAAGAAAAAAAAAGAAAAAGAGGTTAGGAGGTGAGCTCAGCTTAAATAGTGAAAAGATTTCTGATAGCTGATCCCTCTTTAATCTAGCAAAACCACAACCCAACAAACAAATGAAAAAAGAAAGCCAACACCAAAATATCAAAGTATGAAATCCCTCCTAGCGTGGAAGCAAAGGAAATTCATGACAAGGAAATGGTGTGGGAAAAGACTTTAGCACTGTGACTAACCTTGAGAGCAGCTCACCTGAGCATGAGATGGATTTTCCATCCCTGGAATATATTGTAACCCTGAGACAGGGCTGTAGGTTCTGCACAGGAGCTGGAGGTTGGGATTTTTTGGCCTGTGTAATCCCAGTAACGGCGTTCCTGATTCATGGTCTTGTCCTGGAGGTCCGGGATTGGGATTTGGTCATGTTTGCCATGGAGCAGCTGTGGATAGCACTTTTTTCCTTGCTGCCTTCTTTCCATTCCCTCCAAATTAAGACTTTAAAATGGAAACTTTAAAATGGAACCGTTTCCATTGTTCTGCTCTGGCGAGTTCTCCATCTCAAAAAAGCCATTTATTTTTTCACTCCCACTCCAGTCCCAAAGCAACACCTCTGTCTGATGTTTCTGTTACCAAAGGGAACAATTCCACCTGGAACTTTGGCTTGGAGCAGGTTTGTGTTTTGTTCACAGAAAGATGGAGAGAGAATCTCCAGCTCCAAAGTCTTGGTGCATCGGCTTGAATATATTACATCACAAAAATTAATGCTAATCAAAGTGTGTTGCTCCAATCATTATTCCTAATTTTATACAGCCCCAAGAAACTGCAGAAAAATCTGAGTGGGAACAGCTTCAGGATCTTTCTTAGGCAGATTATTCCAAAGAGACGCCTGTGAATGTTTTTGCAACACCCTCCACATGTTTTTACAGTCAATTCTTACCTTTTCTCTATGGCAGTTCTCACCTTTCAGTAACATCAAAAAGAAGAAATCTTGGTATTTTTGCTTTCAAATGCTCTGCAGGGGTTCCCCTAACCCTTCACTTTACAGGTAGTGTTTGATTTTTGGCTTTTTAAACAATATTATTTTATCATATTTTGACATGGTGTCCTGCTTTTTGATTCCACTTAAAAATATGATCTAAGCTTCACAAGAAGACAACATTTTCAATATCCTTTAACTGTGGTTAATTTCACATTTTCTTTAGTGACTTGTCCTTCTTGGAATTTAGATTAGAGCTGTGCAAGTGCTGAATAATGACTCCTCAGGATAAACATTTTTTTCTATTATTATACACAGCACAACCATCTTACTAATCAAGAATTGACTAAAAGTCATGAATATTTTATTTTTTGTGTTATGTATGTAATGGATAATAGGGTGTGATAGTGGTGCCAAAGTGGCATTACAATGTGCCATGATAAGCACAGCATAAAACTCCTCCTGAATGTGCTTCACAGCGATTATAAAATGCATAATGGTGTTTTTTTTATGGAGGTCTGTAGTGTCAAAAGTTGTAAAATTCAGCCTGCTCTCACTTCAAAGTTTACCTCATGATTCCATGTCATCTCCCAGTGTGATAAAATGTGGAAAAAACATCCTGCCAAACTTCACTGTCTGTTTTTTGTGGATCCTCTCCTCAATGTGCCTTCTCCTTGTCACTGTTTCCCATTTTTACTTTTCTTCCTTTCACTCCTCTTCATTACCCTCACTTCAGTTTCCTAATTCAGGGCAACAGCCTGCAGAAAACTCTCCTGAGTTTTTCTGTATAGGAGACAGCTTTGGGTGATATTTTTGAACCAGTTTTTTATGGTTCCCTGACTGAAGGAGCATCACTGGTAGCACGAGAAGGATGAGTGCCAGACCGAGTAATAAAACATTTTTGCTGTTGCTGATATTTGAATCACCAAGGCTCATGTCTGCAATTCTGACTTTGAAGTACTTCCTTGAGCACACTGGTATCAGTCTCCAGCACGCTGTCAAATCAAAGTAATTTTTCTTATCTTTCTTGTATAAACAAGTGCACAGCCCATTGCTCCCCTTCCTCAGGGCCGTGTTTCAGGCAGAGTCAAAATGCGATTTTCATACCCAGCTGCAAACTGTTGGCCTTTGGCGGTGTGGAGGATAAAATACATCAAAAACCAGATAGTGCCACTGGTGTCCAAATCTGCATATCTGGCACCTGTGAAATAAACAAGCCATGACAGACAAATGTGGGATAAAGAAGGCAGAACTTTTAAAGTTAATATGCATCGAAATCACTGGGAGCGAGTATTTTTTAAAATTTTTCCTCAAATTCCATTTCCCAAAATATATGCCATCTTTTTTTTTTTTGTATTATTTTTTTTTTCTGGCTGTACTTGTTATTCCTTTATTCCTTTTATTTCAAATCTGGACATCACCATTGAGACACAAAAGGAGAAGTATTTGAATTGTAATTCTTGGGTCTAATCACTCTTTTGTATTCTCTGTAAGCCAGGGGAGCACGTAGCTCTGTGCAACACTGTGGAATCTGAAATTCCAAAATTCCATGTACAGCCCACCACTGATAAACACAAACATGGATTCCATACAGGGTGGAAATTATTCTCCAGTATGTAAATTTAAAGTTTAGTAGGTCAACCTATACAGAAAATATTTCAATGCAAAAATTCAAGATATTTTATCTTGGCAAACAGCATGGTGAGAGTACCTGACATATCAAGAGTTTAGCTGTTATGAAGTGTACACAAGAATTTTCTTATTTCTCTCTCACTTTATTTTTTTTTCTTTGATGCAAAACCTCTTTTTCTTTGCAACCTTTTTATTGCCTCTGTCCATTCTTAGTTACAACCAATGTACCTTGAAGTGAAAGGCGTTCCTCCTTACTTTCATTCTGAACTATCTGAAGTTTAGAAAATCTCTCCTTTCCTTCCTCATTGTCCCTCCTGTTCCCATTTTCCCTCTCCCTGCTGTTTGTGTGAGCAGTCATGGTCCTGTGGTTTTCCAGATCTGACTCTTTTCCTCCCCCATTCAAGGAACTCTTTTCCATTTATTTCAAAATTACCTGAGAACCCTCAAATAAGCACTGGTGAAGCCTAGCAGAAAAGGAGGCCTAGTCCCATATAAATCCAATGGATGGAAGTATTTAAATATAATGTATAGATTTATGTGTTTACATATTTATATATATCTATTTATATATTTTTATATCTAAGTATTTATATATTTATATAAGTTGGTATGATTACCTCATCATCTCCTTAAATGATTCCATCCACCTCTTTTCATTTCAAGTTTTGCAAACCTCTGATGTCTTTTATCTGACTACAAACATATTGGGGCTGTTTTTCCTGGGTGGCATGGAGGGTATCAGGAAATGGGACAGCATATTCCTAAATATGAGTTTTTAGCATTGTTCTAGGTAATGTGACTTGAACTGTTCCAGAAATCAAAGAGCAATCTATAGAAAGTTGACGGAAAAAAGAAAAACTGCTCTGATCCAAAATAAGTTTGAGTTGACAGATCATACAAGGTAGAGGGGGAAAATGCTGACATACTCGGCTGCATTTTCCTTCCTTTTTTCCTGAATAAAAGGCCTTTCAATCTTCCAGAATTCTTCTGTCACCATGTGACAAAAAATGTTCGGCAGAGGTTTTGATCCTGCGCTGGGTTTGCTCGGATCAATAAATTTCCATTACAGCATTTGGCAATTGGAAGCCAAGCCACAGATG